CCCCCACCCCACCCTACCCCCTTCGTACTGAAAAGACTACCTGGGCAGCATTTCTAGTCACACTTGGAGAGGAAGCAAGATTATCCCAAGGTTTCTCTTGGCACCCATCCACATGGTCTTCTCATTCCTCTGGAAGATGATGGTGATGGTGAAGGGACACAGATGCAGTTCTGGGTTCTCCAGATGCCCTTATCTTTATCCATAGCCCATTTCTGGGTATTCAGGGCCCCAATCTGCTCCCAATCAGAACTCTCCAATGGGAAATAACTCCACCCATCAAGGTATGTAGGGTGCATGAGCTTGGATTCAGGTGCTGCTGCATAGAATTTTACAACATGGACCAACTTGGCTTTCATTTCTCTACCAATACAATGAAGAGATCACCAGTCCTGAGAGTGTAAGCACAGAGTTGCCTATAGAGAATGTGTGCAGGAGGAGAGAATGAAGACAAGTATTCAAAGAGAGGCAGAGATAAGCAAAAACAATAGGTGTGAGAGGTGGGAGACTGGGGCAGGGGTTGAGAGAGACCTGTGACATTTGATTCCCTGGGGCTAAATTCAGACCTAATGAATGGACCTGTCATTCTTTTAATTCTCTTTGCCTACTCTAAAAGTTGGACATCTCTCTTTGAACCTATGTAATGGGGAGATCACCCTATTTCAATAACCCACGGATGCGTAACAATCCCAAAGTAATTACTTCTCAGGATTCTTAGGTCAGGTATTTGTAAGAAATCAGTAGGTAGTTCTGCTCCATACAGTGGACCCATTGACTTGCTTCATTCAAGTGGTTGCCTTCTGCTGAGGGTGGGGGTTGGCTGGGGCTGGACAGTTCAAAAGGGCCTGCCCGGGTTTGCATCCACGAAGCTCTGCCTTGAGCTTTTTAATGTCCCGCACTTCAATCAAAGACCACCAGAGGGCTGCAGAGTCCGGCTTCTCTACTAAGGGAGAAACCGGAAGATCGGGACATCTGGGGGACGGAACTCAAGAGCGTTGAGCAGGAGAAAGTAGAACTGGAAGGAAGCAGGGAGACCCACTGACAGCTTGGTCTGGGCTGCTAGGGTTCCAGACTTCTGGAACTTGGGCCTGAGATGCCAGCTTCCCGGTCATGACTCCTGCTCCATCCAGGTGTGCTGGAGAGGAGTGAGATGGGGTGGGTAGTGCTGGGTATCTTAGTGATCATGCCAGTGGAGAAAACTGGGACAGTGGCATAAAACAACACCACCCACACAGGCTGAAAGAAATTCAGAAGACAGATGCTACAGAGAAAAAGGCCTCATTTGTGAGCTTGACCTTGGATGGGGAGTTAACTCGCCTGAATCTTGGGCTTCCTGTCACAAACAAGGGGTTCCTGATAGCTTCTCAGCACATCATGAGCATACACTGCAATCTTCAAACTGCCAGCCACATATCAGTGATCCTCCTTTTGTGACCAAGTCCCAGAGGAGTCTGGGAATGGCTTTCTGTGAAGTAATGACAACAATGGTCCAGAGGCACCATTGGAACCATTACCCTTTGGGTTTAGACATGGCTCTGTGCTCCCCTGGGAAGAGGATCAAAAGCAGAGCTCAGAGGTGCCCTGCACCCCACTCCTTGTTCACCCAGCTGCTCTGCCCCAAGCACAGACAAAGTCCCCTGCTGGCTGAGTGGTGGGGGACATGTGGTACTGGGCAGAGAGGGGAAGAGCACAGAGGCACCCCAGATGTGTGAGTGAACACAGGGAAGGCAGAACACAGGCAGATGGATGAGGAGGCTGGGTAGAAGGTCTAGGATCAGACCAAGGCCAAGGGCACAGAAAACATCTCCCTTTCCCTACAGTGACCAAGCATACTGGGAATGTGGGGAGCCAGAAACAGCAAGCTATTCCCCCTTACCTTGCTGAGGCCTGGACACCAGGATAAAGATCCCCCTTGTCCACCTGGGGCTCCTTTCCTCTCTTCTTCACCAAGATAAACTTCTTTCCAGTTGAGCCTCAGACTGAGTGGGGGCTGGACCTGGGTTAGGCCAGGGCTCTGAGGGTCCCACCTGTTCTCACCCTGGTGCCTCCCTCAGCCCTCCTTCCTTGACCTCCTCCAGAGCAGCCACAGCTGGAACCATTCTCCAAGCTGCCTTTCATCCTCTGTGCTCCCCCACCCCCAGTGGCCCCTGTAATTGTGGTCTCAGGCAGTGGGGCAGCGGCTACAGCGGGGGCTGGGGCTGGGCTGAAGGCCAAGGCCCAGGACAGAGCCAGGGTGGGGACTGGGGGCTGCTGATAGGAGCTTGGCCATGCTTTGGCTCATAGGGGGCCGGGGCTCCTGCTGCACACTCAGCCTCATTTACGTACATGCCAAGGCGCTGTGTTTCCACACAACCTCCTTCCCCTGGACCCAGACTTGGGCACTTTTAAACCTGCGTGACATCAGGCCAGAACCACACAGGGAGCAGCCCAAGTCTTGGATATCCTTATTTGCCTCCTGGGGTAAAAGGAAGGTCTCTCTCCTTTGTTCTTCTGCATTTCATGAGCAGTGGAGGTGGGGAAGCAGAGACCCTCCCTCATCAGAGAAAGGCCAAAGGGGCGAGGGGCTCTGCTGCCCAACCAGGTCAGAAGCATTGCCCCAAGGTGGGTGCAGCCCAGAGACTTGGGATAATGTGATTAGAAATGCAGACCCCCAGGCCTCATGCTGGAAAGGCTGATTCAGCTGCGTGGGGTCTGGAATCAGTATTTCCCATGAAGGCCTACCCCAGGGGACACATACCACACACCCAGCGTGGGAAACACTAACACGAGCACCATACAGAAAACAAGGAGGTCTGCAGCCCACATATGACCTCCTGTGTGGTATTGGGCCTCTTCCTGATCCTTCCTGGGCCTCAGTTTCCCCAGAAGTCAATGGAAGCTTGACTTTCCAGCCTGCTGATGCCTTCTCCCACCCTGCCTCCTTCCTGCCTGTGTTGAGTCTGGCCTTACCCTGTCCCTACCCCCTTCCCAAACTCTAGATCCAAGCTGTTTTTATCTTGTCCCTGCAGCATGGTGGGGGAGAATGGGGAGGGCAGGGGGTGGCTGGGGTCAAACAAGGCTCTGGCTGACGAAGTCTGCCTCCTGCCCCAGGCTGTTTTCCTGCTGTCCAGCCAGACTGCTCCTCCATTGCCCCACCCCCACCCCCAGCAGCCTCAAGCCCTTAATTCCTGACAGCTGCGGTGGCTGCCGACAGAGATGGGGGAAGAAGGGGGAGTTTGCCATCAGCCTGCTGTTGCTCTGGCCACCCTCCCACCTGACAGTGGGGGGACAAGGACGGCCCCTCGTCTCTCCTCCAGTTCCCCAAGGATGGGCGCTTCCAGAAAAGGGCTCCTTTTGTCTCTAGACCCAAGACTCCAGCAGCCAGGAGGGGTTCCCTTCAGAAAGGAGGTAGTGGGATCGTTGGTGGCAGGGACGTGCCCATACAGAGTGGGAGGCTTATGGGCCATTTCACAGAGTAAGATGCTGAGGCCACAGCAGGCATATGATTCACTATGAGGGCCCAGATTAGGACCAGAACCAGAAGCTAGAGCCTCCTTCCCCTCAACCCTCTAGTTCTCAGGCCCTTGCCCACTATTGTGGAGGAGTCCACCTGAAAAATGAAAAGGCTCTCCAACACTCCTCCCATAGTGTACCACTCAAGTGCTGGGTTCCCAAACGAGCATTCCTAGAGTCCTGGCGTTTTTGGTGCATTGTCTCACTGACCAGATGAGACTGTTCTCATTAGCCTCATTTCATAAAGGGGCACAGGGTGTCTCCACCAGCAGGAGGCACCTGTTTAAAGTCACACATCGAAGAAGAGGAAGAGCCAGAGGCTGCCAAAACCCTTCCCAGGACCCCACACCTGCCTCCCAAAGCAGGCTTCGGGGAAGTCCCTCCTGCAGGAGGAGAGGGAAATGGGGAGACCCCTCCCCTCTGGCACCCGAAGGTGTGTGCTGGGCTGGGGTGGGGCGCTCCCAATAGCTGCGTGCCAGCTAGGCACCCATACCTCGCGGTAACCCACACCTTCTCCACACAAACCCGCACACACGCATCTCCCTGGGCAGAGCGCACAGATCCCTGCCACCTCTCCTTCGTCCGCCCCCTGCAATCCACCTCCCTCCTAGTCCTGAGCGGACTTGGTGGCCTCAGGACGAGTACACGCCTCCACCCCCCCGTGTGACGTCACCTGGGGTAGAGTCCTAAGACACTGCATGGGATGGGGGGAGGCGGCAGAACTTCCAGAGCCGGGACAGTCATTTACTCTCCAGGCTGTGGGGCCGGGCACAGACAGTGCCGTCCCCCCACCCCCCTTCTGCCCGCCGCCCACCCTCGGAAACACAGGCTCGCTGCGCTGCGTTGGGGGGAGTTCCCAGCACCCCAAGCTCAAGTCCTCAGCTCTCTGCACCTCCGGG